GAGTTGAAAGAGGCCTTAAAGATCATCATGTTCCAACCCCCCTGCCCTGGGCAGGGACACCTCCCACCAAACCAGGTTGCTCCAAGCCCCCTCCAACCTGGCCTTGAACCCCTCCAGGGATGGGGCAGCCACAGCTTCTCTGGGCAACCTGGGCCAGGCTCTCACCAGTCTCACAGTGAAGAATGTCTTCCTAATATCTCATCTAAATCTCCCCTCTTTCAGTTTAAAACCCTTACCCCTCATCCTATGGTTCTATGTGCTCACATCTGGGAGTAATCACATGTAGCAAGTAGCTGCAGCTATGGATTGAGGTCCTGATGAAGCAAGAGTGAGTATCTTCGGAGTCACCAAATGGCTATGTAGGTGAGAGATGGTACTGTAGATAGCTGGGCTGCTGTCAAGTCCACCTGCCATTCCTGGTTGGGCATGTTCAACCCAAGAGCTCTGCTGAACACCAGGCAATGCCACCCTAACAAGGGCTCAGAGGGAGTTTTCCGATATGGGGTCAGCAACCTCACTGCCTCCCAGGAAGGCAACTTTGGCAAAGCATTAAAAAAACCCTGCTTTTTTCTTCTGAAGACTTCAAAAATGCCTCTTGTTTGTGTGAAACTCAACTCCACCCTGGCTCTGGGTAGTCCTTCTGTTGCTACAACAACTAATGCTACAGAAATAATAAGGCAAGAGTGGAGTTTTTCCAAGGGCTGGATTTGCATTAAGCGGCTAAAACCAAGATATTCTTAGCCAAGTAGAGAACTGGGGAGGAGAAAAGCCAAAATTGTCCTGGTGCTGTGCCTCTTGCAGGGCTCAGGCAATGGAGCAGAGCGTCCCAAAGCTGTATGTTGGGCAGATGCACAGCTGCTGTTCCCCCAACCACCCTCTACGTTCTTTTTTTTGCTCTTAACTGGTGGGGTTTTAATGCACATACCTGCATCCAAAAAACATGAACGTAAATGAGAAGAAGGAGCAAAGGACAAAGGTGGGTGGGACTCAGCAGGAGTCTGCAAAACTGGGCTGTCCCATCGTCTCCCCATCATTTTGGGAGCCCAATGAAAGTCCTGTGTTTACAAAAGCACTTGGGTGCTTCCAGTGAAAACAAGTCTAACCAAGGAGCCCTTTGTGACTTCGGATGCTAAGAGGTACTGGTTGTCTCTTGCTGCAGAACACAGAGAATTATTTGAAAATCTCTATGAAATTCCTGTGATAGCATCATCTACCTACCCTTACCTTACATTCATGAAGGCAGGAAAACTGAAGGCTGTGAAGTTTCCCTCCTATAATCTCCCCTTGCCCTTTTGCTAGGTGTAGAGGTCCATTTTGACAGAGAAAAAAAGCTCTATTTAAAACCACCACCACCACCAAGATGTTTACCGATGGGGTTTTACAGCTCTGAGCCGCAACCTGTGGGCCAGCTGAGGATTTAGATGCCACAGAACACAAGGGCTAAGCTTCCCAACCCCAGAGCAGATGCTCAAAGTGAATAAAGACCTGAATAAAGACACGTTGGCCCGTGCTGTGACACCTTAATGGCCACAACACCCCTCTCCCTCCCCAGCACAGCCGTTCTCTCAGCAGGGCTGTTATCAGATTATGGTGGCGTGTTGGCTGCGGCAGCTTTTGAAGCAGAAAACCGATTGCCATCTCAAAGCAACTCTTCTCAACGCCGTTACCCTCTTGAAGGACATCAGCAAGATCTCAGCAAGCAACTGAGATTTTCCCCAGCTGGACCAGCAGGTCATTTTTAACCTGTTTTTTCAATTTGTTAAAGCTTCCTATAATGGGAACTTCGTATTGCCTGAATAGGGTGCATCCCTCACGCAGCCCTTGCTGGGTGCTGGAGCAGCCAGTGGTTCCCCTCAGCCACGGGATCCAAATCTCTACAATCAGCAGCCGTCTGCTTCCAAGGCTCATTTAGTCGAATCACACAGTCAAAGCTGGGGACTGGTCTCAGCCTTTCGACACGGGACGCATGAGGAGGAACAGCCACATCGAGAGTGGGTAGGAGGAGAGACCAGCACCATCCAAAAATGTGGGAAAAAAATAAAACTGCAAGAGAACCTACCCAATGAGCTGTGCAAGGTGCACAGTTGGGCACATCATGGAATCACGGAATTGTCAGAGTTGGAAGGGACCTCTAGAGATCATCTGGTCCAACTCCTCTGCTAAAGCAGGAACGTCCAATATGGCCCTTTGGATTCTCCAGCGGGTAACAAAAGGATTGAAAATACCCTGAAATATATTTGTATTCGTTTGGAGGATTTTTTTTTTCCTTTTAATATTTTTTTCTTTCCTTAGTTACTAAACAGGAGACCTGCTGAGAGGGAGTCACTTCTTCACTGGGAGGATGGAGGACCTCTTGGTACCTCTGCAGGACTTGCTAGAGATATCCTACAGGCACTGGGGGATGTGTTTAGAGGAGAAATCTTTCTTTAATTATTGCCAGCCTGGTTCCAGAAAGAGATTTTGGTACCTAATCACACCAGTAGTACCACAGGACATCCCGCATGGTGGTGTGCCCCATGTGGAGCACCTCACCTCGCTGCTGCTGTGGAGCTCGAGCATCAACAGCCCCTGCAAGCCAACTGGGCAGAGGATTTTACACCCCAGCAGCCTCTCTTCTGCACATCAAAGTCCAAATGCTTAAGCAGTGAAAGAAGGATTAACTCTGACCCAAAGAAACAAGGAACGAGCGGTAAATAAAGACCAGGAGATTGCCCTGCCAGGTGACTTCTGTGTGGCACAGGTTTATAGTTAGCAATGCAGGTTTTTTTATTAGTTATAAATAAAGTACAAAAAATCCACCAAAAGTGAATCTAAGCATTTACACAATTTCTAATGTCTTTTCATTTCTTCAATGCACTATTGCTTTAATATTAATAATAAATATTTTTCTAGCTTTCTTCTATAAAATAGTCTATGTAGCAAAATGTTGCACAGCACAACAGAACAGCAGTAGGAGTACAAAAATGTGGGTGATCCTTTCACCAGCCCGAGTCATTAAAGGAGAGGGTTTGTTGGTGTTTTTTTTTTCTCGCTCACCCCTTGTTCTACTCATCCCTTTTGCAGTGTCTTTGCTGGGGAGGGAAAACAACCGACCCCTGTCCCTGCATGGCTTAAAACCGCAGCTCCAGGCTACAGGGGAGGAGTGTTACAGAGCAGCAAAGGGGGGAAAAAAAAATAAAAATAAAAAAAACGAAACATCACAGGCAGGTTTTAAACCTAGGGTAAGGCAAAGTCAACAAAGCAGAGCAGCACCCTGAAGGGACAGAGAGAAAAACAGTAAGATACAGCCATTTTGTGCCTTTCTAACCCAAAAGAGACTTGCATCCAAAGCCTTTTTGGGGGGGGG